AATTAGGAAATAAAGCCTCAAAGATTGGTATTGCTTTGTATTCTATTTGTTCAAGTAAATGTTAAATGGTCCAATAACCCTCTTAATTTTTACTAGGCATTAAATAAACTTGCGCTTCATTTGATACAGTTGAATGTTTTAATATATCTTCTTGACTTAAAGACAAATGTCCACAAGCTTCAGAAAGAAATTTACTAATTATAATTGACTTTCCATTTCCTTTTTTTCATAATGGCAATTCACCATTTGGAGTCCAAACTCTTCTTTTACCATTATTAGCATAAAAAATGCATTCATCATGAGTAATTAAGATATGTTCTTTTTCACCATCTTTTAATTCAAGAGGAATATGCTTCATATCATTTCTATTATATTTTGCCATATAGGTTTCATAATAAGAAATTATTTTAAGAAATTCTTCTCGATAAGTTATTATATTTTCGCATTTGTGTCTATCATAATATATGCCTTGACAATGATGTTGATAAAAAAATCCAAGAATATTAAGCCATTGGGTAGTTGTTATAGACAAAATAGTTTTTTTTTAGTAATACCAGTTTCAATAAGAAGTGTATTTTTAACAAAGTCTTTAAAAGTTTTTGGAGTAACTTCACCACCTTGTGTTCAAATCCAAACTTTACACCTATTAGCTATGTCCTCATCATTAATTAATCACACTGTCTTTTGATGTTTTCCATGATATACAGGAGGAAGATAACCAGTTTTTAACCAATATTTTGCTCATTTACGGATCATTATTGCTTTATAGAAACCTGCATTAATAAACACTATTTTAGCGGCTTCTATACTTGCATCCATTTTTCCTCTATCATTTTCATCTAATCTTTGAAGATATTTAAAGATTGCTCTTTTTTTACTGTATTCAATAATAGACATTTTCTTATGAGATTTTTTTAATTCAGTTTTTAATATTGTAATTTTTTGCAAAGCATTTTCCAACTATTCTCTTCATTTCTATTATTTAAAAATTCAAAAACTTTGTCAGCTGTATCTAAAGAGGGAATATTATTATCAGAATTCTTTGTAGAAAAAAAATATCCAGTTATATTTTTTGTGTTGCTTGCAGCAACAGTATAAGTACCATTCAGACCCCACTTGTCATAATATGTGTCTTTTTTATTGGTCTAACAAGATAAGGATCACGCTTTCATTTATTTAATACTACATTATCCTTCCAAACTAAATTTATTAAACCTTCCTGCCCATCTTATAAAATTCCTTTATTCACCCAATTTTCATCTTCTCAACTACTATCTTTCTCATTTCCTCACTCACCAGCTACTTCCTCAACTTCAGATTCCTTCTCCAATCCAAAATTATGGAAATTTTCTTTAAAGTTTTTAAACTTTCTGAACCTTCCATTATTTTGCGTAATTGATTTTTATGAAGACGTTTTTTTTAGAAAGAAGAGGCATTGGAAAATTAATTAAATGATAATCTCTTTGTGTAACTTATTAAATGCAATGGGAAATTACAGTAACTTACGAAATTTTGATAGTCTGAAATTATGCTAATTTCTATATAAATGCTTAAACTTAAATGCTAATAGCTACAAATGTTTATAGTAAAATTTAAAAAACCGATAATTTTATAGCTTATATTATAAACTTTTATTTTATCGGTTTTATTTTTTTATAAATTATATATTTAAAAAATATTTACAAATTTAATCATGTAATTTTATTTTTGAGTATAGGTGAAATGTACCATAATTATTTTTATTTAATTTTTTTCATTAATATATAACATTATTTAATATTTAATTTATATTTAAAAAACAGGATAGAACCATAAAATATTTAAATGAAGAAAATTGATAAGTAAGCGTAACTATATTTATTTTTACTATAACTTGATAGAATTTTTGAACCTATCTGAAAATTCTCTCGAATTACATAGCTTTAGAATGTTCTTTTATAATAAAGTCAATTTAAAAGGAAGATTATTACTTCTAATTAATATAAGTTAGATTTACCATAAGTAATATAACAAAAAAGATTACCTGATAATTTTAATTGATTCCTATATAAATGTGATAAATATTGAAAGTAAATCTTTTTTCTTTAAATTTTCTCAAAAGATTATTTTCAAAATCTTGCATATGGTATTAATGCCTAATTATACCTAATCAGTATGTTTTTTTTTTTTTTTAAGTGTGGTAGTTTCGCATTATCTTTATTGAAAAATATATAAAATATACAAAAATCGGAAAATACAAATACTTTCATCAATAAAACTAAACTAGATCCTGCATTTTCCTAGAATTAAACATAAAAAAAATTTATATGAGCTTTGCAATAGAAAGGAAGGAAACTCTAAAAAAATTTTTTTTTGAATTAATGTTAAATCTGAACTTATTTTACAAAAAAAATCATAATTAGTTTAGAAAGTAAAATTTTAATTTTTTTAGAGTTTCCTTCCTTTCTATTGCAAAACTTTCATATTATCACCTTCCAGTGAGATAACCAGAAAAAGGAAAGGGTTTGACTCTTACTGCACCAAAAATTCATCCATTAGGATTCTAAATGAACTATCTTATCTATAATTGATAACGAATCAAATAAATAAGTAAAAGAACAAAAATAATATCTAAAGGCTGTGGTGTTTGAGAATTTATCTACATCAGAAATATTAACAGAGGATTTAAATTGTTTAAAAATAATACATCTATTAATTCAAATTTTTTGAGTTTTTACAAAAATATAATGTATAGAATTAGAGAGAGCTGCTAATGTTACAGGTTTTGAGGTGAAACAGAGTGAATCAAATTGCTTAGACAAACAAAAACAATTCCTTTGATGAGATCATAAAATGAGAAGAATGCGAAATTGAAAGTAAATCAAATATTAATTGAGACTATGTCATTTATAAAAATTTTGTTATGTAAAATCTGAAATAAGAATTCTTGAGAATTCCTAATCAGTTCCTTCATTTTATAGTGAATAACAAGATAGTCACAAATATGTTAGAAGGTTTTATCATCTGCTTTACATCTAAAGTATAACTATGAGCTGTTATACATAGTAGGATGTTTGGATTTGAGTATTTCTAATGTAGGAAGCATTTCTAAGAGTCTTTGTAATTTCTTTTTCATAAGAGCTGATGTCTCATAGGAAATAACGCCATTAGCAATATTATCATTAATACAGAAAATAGTGGCTTTTCAGTCTATTTTAGTAGTATAATATTTATAATTGATTTCAAGATTTAGGAAAAAACCATATTATTCGTACGGAATAAATTTTTAATGAAGAATCTGAGAGGTAAAGCAATAGGAAGGTTGTTGTAATAGAGAGTGAATTTGGAAGGAGTAGTTAGTGAGAGGTTAAGAACTAGTGTATCCAAGCAACGGATGATCCTTTCAAATTTGGCTAAAATTGTTTTAATTCAGTGATCGGTAACATCAAGGGAATCTCTGTAACCTTGATTGACCTTGCAGGAATATAAGGATGTGTTGGTACAATGTCAAGGAGTGAAAATGTGCAGTTTTCCAATTTTAGTAACTGAATTGAGCAAGCGTAATCTCATTCTTTGTTTTGAAAGAAAATTTTTATGATGCATTATGATTGGTTTATTGGGTGTTTAGCAGGATTCGCTCCAGTGAACGAATCATATTTGTCGAAGAACAAGTCAACAACAAATGAAACTTTTTGCTGTGATGAGGTTCCAGGAAATTCTTCGAGTGGAAAAAATCCATGAAAAGAAGGTTTAGGTCAGTCAAACGCTTGAGCTGAAGTTGTATTTTTATCTAAAAAGTTTTCTAACACGTTTATACTTATGTAAACATTGAGAGGAGCGGCGGTATTGTCTGGAGTAATATCCAATGTGTCTTTGTCTTTGCCTTTTTCTGACAGCGGTGGGTCGTCACAACTGGCTCAGTAGTCTCAGAAGTGCTTTGGTTTGGTGGAGTATCTATAGTTTGATTGGTATTTGATTTTAAGAGGGGAAGCGAAACATCCTCTTTGTTTGGATTTTCGTTCTCTCTTATTTTGTGGCATTGTAGCGGAGAGAGTTTTTTTAATTAGTATGTTATTTCTAGCAGAAAGAAAGTGAATTATTGTAGTGCGAATTTCAACTGGTACAAATTATAAATATAAAATAAATTTTGTAACATTTCACAAAATTAGATCGGCGGGGGTGTAAGCATTATCAGCATTTAAAAGTAAATCTGAGCAAATGTTGGTTTTTTTTAAAGCTCCGCATAAGCCGGCTTGACAATCGGCTCGGCTTGGCTTAATCTGTTTTAATGATAAAGTTCAACAATCAAAATTATCTTTTTTGATACGCGTCTTGATTAATTGGTTGTTTTTTTTGATAACATAATTTTATTTTTATTTTTCAGCATTTTCAATCGCAAAGCTTTAACCATCATTGTTACTTGAAAACTTAGAAATCCATATTATTAAGTAGATGCTATTTATTTTAAAATTCACTAATGTAGCAAAAAAAAAAAAAAAATGATTTCAGAGCGATTTCAAATAAGAATTCAATTTTAAGACGACTTTATTGAGAAATTAATTTACGTAAAAAGGAAATATTTCAGAAAGAAAATTTGCTTGAAAGCGAATTCGCTTTTAATAGTCTGGAGTACATTCCAATTAAAAAATGATTGATAATCGAATGTTGTTGATCGTTCATCACGAAAAATTTCCTCACGCGATCAAACAAAAAAAAATTATTTGAATTAACTTGCATTATTTTTAATGTTATCGATTTAAAAGTGGTCCTAAGAATCGTTCACTTTCGTATATGTAGCACATGACATTACGCGATAGAGGATTCATTATACATCGACTCACACTTTAATATAACTATAACAAATTTTTAATGTAGTTAATGTGTTACGAACATACAAAGTATAATTTCATCAAACATTTATTTGATCTAAAATTACAAGTCACTTAACACATCTCATAAATAATTTAAATATATACAGTATATATACATATATATATAAATGTTACGTTCATCATGATAAACTAATTTTCACCAGTTCGCTTAAAATTATAAACCTTCTCATTCCCAGTCCTTGGTACACCCAATTCTTCAAGTTTATGAAATGCAGCAGCAAAATCTTTGAAAAATAATGCTTCATCTTTAGAATATGTCTCAACCCAAGTCTTAAAATTTTTGTCCTAAATAATAAAAAATTCAATATACGTTTTAAACAATGTAAAATGTGATTAATAATCAAATTGATTGGATTACCTGAATTAAAGCCATGTCAGCAGGAAGCATCATAAGTTCACCTATTAGATAGATATGTGAGTAAGTATCAAACATCAAATAAAGGGAAAGAAAAATTCCTAGACTCATACCAGTCTCTTTGTCAACAAATTGTTTTGGACCTTTCCATTTTTTATCAACCCATTTTTTTTTCAAAAGTTCAGTAAAGTAACCATTTGTAAATGTGATAGGACTAAAAGTCCAAGGACCTTGGAAGCCACTACGATCGGGATGGCAACGACCTAGAGCGTGAGCTCCAGCAAGCGCTACAATCTCGCTATATTTAAAACCTTGTAAGTCAAGTTTTGATTTACTAGCTGGAAAGAAATTGAATAATTACCGATCATCGAATCCCATTCGATAGAAAATATCTCGTACGTGAGATGGACCTTTGGAAGCATCAGGAAGACGGCCATCTGGAGAACACGCTGTTGCGGCATCAGCATCCTTACTATAAATTATAATATAAAGATTAAACAAAAAAAGTTATGAATGTTAAAATGAGATAACTTACCGTCCAGGAATCCATGGAATTATCGGACCTGCCTAGATGTTTATATTGTTAAATAAACTCGCCGAAAACAAAAAAAAAGGTACAATAATAAATGTGCGTAAAGAAAAGAATGAAAAAAAAAATTAAATACCATTTCTTGAATAGCAACAACACCAGCTAAACTCCATAGATCAGAATAAGTTATTGCAGGATTTTTTTGTTTAATAGATTCCAATTTATCTCTAGCATGCTTAAGTCCAGCATTAGCACCATGATCGGATTCAGGAGCAAATCTCATAGTAGCACCATTACTACCACCGGTATTTGTTTCTTTGTCATAAGTGCCAGATGCGTGCCATGCAAGGCGAACAAAAATTGGTCCGAGGGAACCATCATCCCAATCATTTTCTTCTAGAATATCAGCTATTTGATTATAAATTTTTTGATAATCAGGAGTTTCCTGCGCTATGGTAGTAGGAGAAACTTCCGAAGAATTGTCGGTACTATAAAAATAATATCCTGTTCCCACTCCTATAAGACCAGCTCCTAAAAAAATTAGCGCCCTTCTACTACCACTTTTACTTTTTTGTTCTGGCTGTTGTGGTGGTGATTTTTGAGTATTATAATGACGGTTTAAACTTGGAATGGCAAAAGTACGAAGAGAAGTTGTATTTGAAACAGCTTTAACAGCTTTTGGGCGTGTTGCATTAGCAACAAACTTTACTGCATTAGCACGTGAAGAAAAAGCGCGAACAAAACGAATTGAAGACATCATTTACTGTAATTACAAATTAAAACCCGATAATTATAATCCCAAATAAAAAAGGTGTGAACTGAAAAAAAAAAAATTTTTTTTTTTATAAATGTTCTGATTCAGATGATCTTGATATTATGTGATTTCCCAAGGACAATTTCTTGTCCCAGCTAAGGTTAAATTTGATTACACATCCATTTGCATACATTGTCCCTTTTGAGAATTATAATATGGGTGAATTTAATCTATTTCGAGTAAATTTACTTAGAAATCGAATGCATTAATGTCTGAAATAATTGGTTTACGTTACATAAATAATTAACTTTATAATTATTACCAAAATTATATTTATATTTAAATGAAAAACTAAACTTTATAAGTCTGTTATATAAATTTGCAAAATTAATTTAATTATTATATTTTTATATATAATGTTTAACTTCAAATTTATAATTTTTTTGGATAAAGATATAATAATTAAATATATAAATATACTATTAAAAAAATGTGATTTTGAAAATTTTTAATAAAATTTGTTTTATTTATTTTAATTTTTGATGATATTAAATCAAAATGTAATAAGAATGAAATGTTAGTTAAAAAATTCTTAGAATCTCATTTTTTTAATAAACTCTTATATAAAGATACTAATAAATGCATATATTATAAATTAATATTAATTAATAAATAAGATTGCAAATAGATTTTTGAAAAATCTTTAATTAATAATATTATAATTAAAAATAATATGATAATCTTAACTGGATTACACTCTTATAAGAGTGTAATCCAGTTGCATTAGACTGTTACCTAGTTACTGTTAGACTGTTACCTTGTTACTATTTTCAATGCTTTGTGAACTTTTTATTATTGCCTTGTAACTATCTGCTTATTTTTATTGTTCTGTAGTTTTTTTGTTGCTTTGTGACTACTTGATTGGTATCGACCTTCTGCATCTGAATGGATGTCAAATTATATTTTGGGGCTTGCTGGCCTTCCGTAACTATTTGGATACCTGGTTTTATGTTGAGAGTGCTGACCTTCTGTGCCTGAATGGATTTTTAATTCCATATTGAGGAGCTACCCTTTGCGTCTGCTTGATTACTTGTTAAGATACCAAATTGTGATTAAAAAAATCATGTCAGTAGTGTAGTAAATTTATGGTTAATTTGGCCAGCTCTATGCCATAATTTCACTGAAATCTGCCTAGAAAAAGGAAAGAATATCTCTCGCAGATCGACAGATCAAGAGAGGATGCTGAACTTACTTACAATCCTACTTTTATATTCCTATTTAATTGCCAGATTGAGGCATAAAGTACAGAACTTGCATATTTTCCTCTTAATTGCCATTTCTTGATTGCTTGATGAGACATGAAGTGCTGAACTTGCAATCCATATATTTTTCATTTTTTGATTGTCAGAGATGTGTTATATTTGATCTATTCAATTGCTGAGTTAAGGCATAAAGTGCTGAACTTGCAATCCATACATTTCTCTCAATTGACATTTTTTGATTGATGAGAATAAGACACGAAGTGCTGAATTAGTTCAGAATTTACAGCTTTCATACCACTGGTCAAAATTAAAAAATTGGACATGTGATAAATCATCTATCAATCATTCGTCAATCAGACATAATCATCAATCAGCCAAAAATCAACTTAAATCAACCTGTCTAATTTATAGTCGATTAGAGTTAAGCCAAAATTTCAATTCCGATTGGTTCAATTGGATAATGTAAAAATCGTCTGATTGGAAACTTTGTCATAAAGGAACAATAGAAATTATCCTTAAGAGAAGATACAAATCGTTTCTAAGAAATAATAAAGATAATCATTCCTTTTGGGATGATACATTATCGTTTAAGAAGAACAATTTAAAAAAATCATTCTAAAGGAACAATAGATCTATCATTTCAATAAGAATGATTAAAAATCGTCTCTTTGGAATGATAGATCATCGTTCTTATTGAATGATCAACAAATCATCCCTTTAGGATGATACATTATCGTTCATTAAGAATGATTTAAAAAATCATTCCAAAGGAACGATAGATCATCATTCATTAAGAACAATTCAACATCGTTCCTTTTGGAATGATTATTGTTCGATTTGAATGATAAAAAATCATTCCTTTTGAAATGATAATCATTCGATTTGAACAATAAAAAAATCGTTCATTAATAATGATTCAACATCATTCCTTTTGAAACGATTATCGTTCGATTTGAATGATTTAACATCGTTTCTTTTGGAACGATGATCATTCGATTTGAATGATAAAAATTGTTCCTTTTAGAACGATGATCGTTCGATTTGAATGATAAAAAATCATTCCTTTTGAAATGATGATCATTCGATTTGAACGATTCAATATCATTCTAATCGGATAATGCAAAATCGTTTGATTAAAACAATCAAACTATCATCTTTTTGGGACGATACAAATGATACACTATCGTTCAAATCAACATCATCGTCTCTTAAGGGACGATACAAATCATTCAATAGAAATGATGTTTCAATTGGATAATACAAAAATTATCCAATTGGCTAGAAAACTTTCAGATTAATCTGAAAAAATTTTTCCTTTTTTTTAACACTTTTCCTTTCTTTTTACTGTATTTTTTTTCTTATCTTGAAGATTTTTACCATTTTTTTTAGGAAAATTCTTATTTCAAAAATGTGATAAATCATTCTTTAAGTGAAAATTTACTATTTTCCTTATTTTTTCTTGTTTTTTTTTGGAAAATTTTCATTTTAAAAATAAGTAAATTAGAAACAAATTTTTGGGTAGATTTTTCTTTCTTTTTCTTGTTTTTGTAGGAAAATTCTCATTTGGAAATAGAATAAGTAAATCGGAAATAAGTTTTTTGGTGAATTTTCCTTTCTTTTTCTCATTTTTGTAGGAAAATTCTCATTTAGAAATAAGATAAGTAAATCAGAAGCAAGTTTTGAACGGATTTTTTGTTCTAGATTTCTTGTCTTTTTAAAATTTTTCTCATTTGAAAATAAGAAATGTAAATCAGAAGTGACTTTTAGGTAGATTTTCCCTTCTTTTTCTTTTTTTTAGGAAATTTCTCATCTTGGAATTAAGGTAAACAAATTGTTGGTGACTTTTTGGGTGAAAATTTACCATTTTCCTTTCTTTTTCTTATTTTTTTTTTAGAAAATTTCACATTTTGAAATTAAGATAAGCAAATCGTTAGTGACTTTTTGGGAAATTTCACATTTTGGTAAGTAAATCAAAGGTGACTTTTGTTTGGATTTTTTACCCTTTTTCTTTATTTTTCTTTATATTCTTTAGGAATATACTATAATAAGTCAATCAAAGGTAGTTTTAAGAAGGAATTTTTAACTTATTCTTTTATTTTACTTTATTTTTTTATAAATAAATCTTATATAGGTCAATTAAAGTAGACTTTTGAAGTGGATTTTTAATTATTCTTTATTTTTCTTAAAAAAATCACAATAATTATGTAAAAATAATAAAATTATAAAATTATAAAATTAATAAAATTTAAATAAATATAAATTAGTTATTTTTAATTTTGATTTGCTTGGCTGATTTTAGGCTGATTTAGGTTGATTGATGATTAAATTTAGGTAGTTTTTAAGCCAATTTTAGATCGTCGATTGATAACTGATTGATATTTCCGATTGACTCATATTGTGTTAATCAGAATTAATGCAAATCAGCCCTAAATTAATCATAAATCATTCATCAATCATCTTTCTGATTTTTAGCTGATTTGTATCCATTTCGTACCTTTTTTTCGTATATTCTTCTGAGCTTTTCCACTTTTCTGACCTTTTTTTTGCTTATCATCGATAGTATTTCAAGTTATAATTTCTTATTTTCTTTCCTATATATAATTCTAACTTGGGATACTACCAAATATATTTTATGCTTCTACATCTCTAGAACTCTTTCTCATATAGTTGTTACTTTGGGTACCCCTATACCTGATTACTTTGAGCTATTACTATATCGATCTTTTACTTTTATACTCTTTTTCTTGTATTCTCCTCTTTCTTGCTTATCATCAGTATGATGCAAAAGTATAATTTTTTATTTTCTTTTCTATATATTATTCTATCTTTGCGTCCTACCAAAAGTATGTTATATTTTTTAAATTTATGAGAAAAGGTGATTACATATTTTTATTTTGAAGATTACAAATTTTTATGTAATTTTATACTGCTTTCTTGTATATACTTCCATGCTACTTGCGCAAACAAAATTCGAACCCAATCTTAAAAAAATAAATGAAGTAATAAGGTTCTTCTCAGATATAACAGACCTTAATTATAAGCCTGGCTATAATAATCATACATGTTTTCAACATTTATTGGCATCTAATACTAGAAAGGATGTGATCCTTTTAGAAGTCTATCATGCTGAAGAAATTGTTTTCAAATATATCATTTGGGCGGCAGGATTGAGTTTACATTAATTGATCACCTATCTGAAGTTTATGAGACTCCTGATACTCATAAGTGTATTGATAGGAATCTGCCTTTACGCCTAATTCTTGATATCAATGTGAGGCAGAAACTCGATCACAAGAATTCTGAACTTTCTTTTTTAGATGAATATAAAATTTCTTGTAATGATTTATTATCCAGAATCTTAATTGCTTACGCTGATATTTTATACTCTGATTTAAAATATCTTATAATATTAGATACATTTACTTTGACTAGTTCATCTAATTCTGATAAATGCAGTTGGCATATTGTATGTTCTGATGCCTGCTTTTTGACTATAGAGATCTTAGGGATTTTGTAGAAAAAGTTGCTGATAGAGTTGAAAAACCATACTCTATATTTATTGATATAGAACTTTATAAATCCCATTTTAACCTTCGTCTTTTTGGATCGGCAAAAAATGATAGAGTTAAAAAACCTGCAATTTCTTCTGTTAAAAAAGGGTATTGCAAACTAGAGGATTATTTAGTTTAATTTAAGAATGCTTCTGAAATCTGACCTTGAACTTTTTCTCCTGAAAAGCCAGAAAAAGAAGAGTTCTGATCTATTGAAGATGAAACTGCCTTAAGCAATGGAGCTGATTTAGTAATGGCAAAATATGAATGGCTTGAAATTAGAAAAGCTGAAAAAGGATTTATTATCTTTTATGCCAAATCATTTATAGAATGTTTTATTTGCAATATCAAATATAAAAGGAATCAGTTATATGACTTTTTTCGAAAAGATAGATGCTTTATACTCAAATGCTATTGGCAAAAACAATATAAGCTAGACCATAAAGGTTTGGTATTTGGAGAAGCAACTAAAATTCTCACAATACCTAAGTGAGAAATAGCTGAAAGAATAGCTAATGCTATATCAAATCCATACCTACTTCCTGAACTATCTGGAGAAGCTATTAATATAAAGAAGATGGAAGATTTCCCAGAAGTTTATCCTGACTTCTTGAAAGAAAAGATCAGTACAACTCTAATTCGCTTCCCTATAATGACAGGAAAAACAAAAGGGTTAAGAAAATATCTCAATTATTTAGCCAGGAATAAAACTAGTTTGCCTTTCATTGTTTGGATTTCTTACCAAAAAACTCTTAGTAAGGTAAAATTAATGATCTTAAATTATCCGGGCTTAAAATCTGTAATTATCAAGATGAACAAAACTTATCTGTAGATAAGTGGGATATTATTATAATCCAAGTTGAGAGTCTTTCTCGTATAGAGTTTTAGCATGTCTGATTGTAGCTATTTTAGATGAAATCAATGCAATTAATCACCAAATGAGTAGTGATACAAATGCATAAGAATCTGAGAATATGATGTATGATATATTAAAAACAACTAGTATATACTTGCAATAGATACCTTCAGAAATGAATCAACTCTAACCTTTCTTAAAACTTATCACAATGAAAATATTCGAGTGATTAATAATAAATTTTAACCTTTTGTAGGTAAAACTGTTGAGTATCTTTATGATCCAAATAGCAGGGCTGAAGCTATGCGAATAAGATATGAGTTATTACAGCAGGGCAAGCATGTGGTATTTATTCTAACAAGTTATAGTATGGTTCAAGCATTGGCAGAAAAAATCTTTAAATTGCAAAGACCTGATAATTCTCCTGTTAGAGGCTATACTTATTATAGGAATATGGATAAAAAATAACTAAAAAAGGATTTTTCAGATATAAATACCGCTTGGGATAAACTTGATTATGTAGCTTATACAAGTACAGTAGAAGCAGGCATATCTTTTGAAAAGACTGATCATTTTGATGCAATTATAAGCATTACAAATATTATAACTCCAGTTAATATTGAAGCCTTTATTTAAATGATGTTTTGAATTCGTGATTGTAAAAAGCGCATATATCCTTTATTATCAAAAAAATTCCAATGAGCTTTTTTTGCCTACCAGGTTATAAAAATATTCGTGCTGAACTCAAAAGTGCTAGGCCTAACAATTTGCCTACAGCAATAAGAGGTCATCATGAATGTGATAAAAATATTGTATCATATAAACTTGATCAATCACCTGCCATTAAAGCTCTGAACAGGTCAGGTCGGGTTAGGTAATTGACTTGACTTAACCTGATAAAGTCAGGTCAGATCAGACATAAAATTGACCTGAATTAAATATACATTTGACCTGATCTGACCTGACCTGTCTAAAAAAAAAAACTAAACAATTATTAATTTTGTTTAATATTTTTTTAAAAAAATATAAAAAAACATTGATACATTTTTACATTTGATTATTTTTCAAAAAAAAAAGATACTAATATAATTATTTTAACTGCAGAATTTAAAATTACAAGTTACAATAAATCTGCAAATCTGATAACTGTTAATATAATTACAAAAACGTTTATAACTTTACAACTATTAATCCAATCATAATAAAATTATATATACACATATTTTTGAATCTGATGAACAACTTTACTTATATGACTAAAGTTAATTTCCTTTGACCAAAATGCTTAAATTGCTTTTTGAGGTCACTTAATAAATAAAAAAAATATATATAAAATTTGTGAGATAATGCAATCATAAAAAACATTTATTACTTTATAACTATTAATCCAATTATAATAAAAATTTATATACACATTTTCGTACCCACTGAGCAACTTTATATAAATGATAAAAGTTGATTTTCTTTTACCAAATTACTAAAATATCTCTTTGAATTAATTGAATAGATAAAAAAAAATTAAAAATTAAATTGTTGAACATCGTAATTGCAAAAATGTTTATAATTTAAAGTTTAACTTTTTGATTATAATAAATTACAAAGTAATTATACTTTATTAGAATATAAAAAGAAAGTATATTAAATAAAATTAAAGATGTTTTAAAAAAAAAATAGACAAAAAAAATATTTTTTTAAATATTTTATTTCGTTTAATTTGATTAGTTGATTTGAATTTTATCAGGTCGAGTCATAAGCTTGACCTGACTTGATTTTGACCTAAAAATTTATTTAGCTGACCTGAACTTTTAGGTCGAGTCAGATCGGGTCACAGGTTGACCTAAGAATTCTAGATTTTACTATTACATGCTGAACAAAGTGTAAATTGATGTGATAACTCTATATTTAATTTATATCCATATTTTTGATTACTCTATAATATAAAACTTTTTATTTTAATATGTATTTTTTCAGGTTTATAAGCTAAGTTTCAAAAATAAGATACATTTACAGTCTGATAATTTTTTGATGGTTTGATAGTTTTATCATAATTACAATTTACTAATATTATATTTACACTACAATACATGTGTAGTAGTTATATAAAACATACACCTATTTGATAATTTCTTGGTAAAATTAAAGTAGAAGTCATTTTTTTATGAATAAATTTTACACAATACTAATTTTTTATTTAAAAATTCTACTATATTTTGATTAGTCAATATTATAGTTATTATAGTTACACAAATTTTAGAAGTTTGAATTATTTATTTGTAATCATCATTTATTTTTACAAATTGCATTGTTTTAACAATAGCGATAATTATGGGGGTGGTAATTAATTACAAGAGATGTAATTATTACAAGAGTGGTAATTAATATTTATAGATATAATTAATTACGTAAATAGTATTAATTTTGGGAAAAGTTATTAATTATGGGGTGGTAATTAATATTTGTAGACGTAATTAATTATAGGGATGGTAATTAATTACAGATAACTTAATTAATTATGAGGAATATAAATTTTTTTAATACATAAGTGTATAAAAGAATTCTATAGTATTATTAACGTCATTTTTAGATCCCAATTAGCTTTGTGAAACCTTTATGCATAAAATGCATAATTTTCTTTTATGGTATTCATCATGTAACATGTGATTAATATTGAGATATACATTAAATTCAATTAATTTATGATAAGTATTTTAATGTTTTATCATTAATAAAAGTTACGTATTTTATGATTTTCTACATTATTAATTAATATATAAAATTATATTAATTAGGCTAGTTTTGCTATTATTTTAAATATTTAGCAAAATTATGAATAATTTTAAAACATTACATAATTTTGATAATTAAATAAGACTTATAATACTAAGTAAAGTTGTAGATCTGGTAATTTTCTACAATATTACTTATTATAGAAAATTATTATTATATATTAAATTTTGCGTTAAATTAAAATTCATTAAAATTTAGCTTATATTCTTAATTCTGGTAAAATTATAAATCGTATGATGATGACATAATTACGTACTTACGTTACGTATTACATTTTTGGTAAAACAATTACTAGTACATGTATAATTCCGAGTTCTTGAGCATAATTCTTTTATATTTTTCTTTTTTAACAAGTTCTTTAGGAATTTCATTTTTGATAATTTTCTTCAAAGTTTTCTTGATAAACTTCATCCATTATAAAGATTAACTCTTTAGATTCAGTCTTTTCTCAAAGTCGAGTATAATTGAAAGAACTTTAGCTTCATTTTTTTTTTATTATTTACTTTACATTTTCTACCCACTAATCGAAATTATTTCTTTCAGTACTAATATCATTCAATCAAAAAAATCTCAATATTTAGATCTGGATCCTGATTTTCTGAATTTTTGTTTTGTTGCCGCCAAAAGCTTCAAGTTGTTGTAGCATGTATTTTTTTATTGATCGATGAAAATCGATATTATATCATTTTAAAATCGATTTCAATTTTCGCAATTTAACAAGTTTCGATTCCAACTCTTAAACGAGACATAAATGTAGCAAATTTCGTTAAAGGGATATTAAAACATTTACGGCCAACCAATATTCAAAAATACAATGAAGGATATTAGTATCACAAAGATTAATACATTTTTAAAAGAATTGTTGTTTCAGACAATGATGTGGATAACAAGCTCTTTAAAGTCAAATATATTAATCAAATTTTGTGAACTCAAAGATGGTCTTTTATAAAGTTACAGTTATTTTCATTATCAAATTTAAAATTTAATTCTAAATGTTCTTTCAGATAATTAAATATACAAATCCTATTATAAAAATTTTAAATTCAATCAAAAACCAAACAAACATCACATACTCAAAATAATGAAGTTTAGGTTATCTTATAAATTCCATTTTCTCTGATGTTCGTCAATCACAGGGGAGAGTCGTTAAAAATTTTTCAATAATGTTTAATTGTTTGCATATAAATTTTACTGCAGAAAGCATAAAATTCTGCAATTCTGTTGAAGTGTTGGAATAATTAAATTGATTTCAATGTATCTAGACCAGGGTTATTAAAAGCACAATATTTTGAAATTAGTAAAGCCGTCATTGATGCATCAAAATAAACAAATGTATTGCATGTAAACAAATAAATTTTTTTTTGCAATAGGCAAATAATAAAAGAAAATATAATTTTATACATTAAAAAAGAGATGGAGCAGATTGGTAAAATATGAGGTGTGACAAACTCCATTAATTACACTGCATCTTTTTAATCACAAGATATTACCATTTTAAAATTTATTTGAGTGATGAATATTTTTTTAGCGTCACTATGGATAATACTAATGCTAACTAGTAATATATAAGATTGACATTTTAACATGTGATCAAGTTGTAATACTCGACTCGATTTAAAGTCAAGAGTCGTGAGAAAATCTTGGACAATGGAATCATGACTGACAGACTTGTAATTTGTATTGATAAATTAAATAATAAATTGAAGGATTTATTAGAAGAAAATAAGAGGCTTAAACAACAACATGAAAATCTTCAAGAAGAAAACAGAGAAACCTTGCATATTAATTCTGAACAAAAAGAAATGCTTCAAGAAAGAGATAAGCAATTTGAAAAGCTAGTTATAAATTTGGAAAAGCAAAAATTAGAAGAAAAAAAAAGATTTAAGCAACTACATGACAAGCTTCTAGAATAAAATAAAGAATTCTCACGTAATAATTTCGAATTAAAAGCAAAAATTCAAGAAAATGATGAGCAATTAAAAAAGTTTCAACAAGATATGAAATGAAAATCTTTAGAATTGGATGAAGTTAATGAGAATGAAAATTCAATTTTTAAAGAATATAATAAATCATTCATAATTGAAAGTAGTGAACAAAAATATAATACTAACAAAGAAGCGTTTAAGATTCCTTTAAGTGATATTGAAAATTCCTCTGAAAATTCGTGGAACTTATATAATAAAGGTATTTCAACATAAAGATTTAATACAAATTAATTTGATTAAAAGTAGTGATCAATTCAATCAATTTTTAGATAATATACGCATCATGGTTGGGTTGGAATTTGGAACAAAATACTCTAGTTTTTCTTATTGCCATGTTAAATCCAAAAGTATAATTGCTTATTGTTATTTTCAATCTCATAAAGGCGGACTTAAAACTAAAACGACTCTTAAATACGATGATGAATATAATAATGTAATATCATAGTGCTTTCCAGCTTTAGCTAAAACGTCATCTCGTAAATCTGGAATTGGTAAAGTTAAAGAAACGAAACCAGTTGAATTTTTTAAATTACACCAGGTGAGTTCAAACCGTTCCTTCCAGTTGATTATAAGAAGGCTATTACTGATTATCTTGGAGAAATAGGAAAGGTATGATAAATATTTTCAAATCTATTTAATATAATTATTATTAGTATTGTAAATATTTGAATGTAATTTAAGGAAATTAAGAAAGCCTTTTAAATCGCTAGAATCATATAATTTTCTTCGAAAATGTATTACTGATTATTTCGTGTCCTGCTAAATATTCGGATAAAACAAAAGTGATTATGAGAGAATGTGCCTTTAATGCTGGGTTGATTAATGATAATAATTCAATAACATTACAATTTATTTCAGGAGGTGAAAACATTATTTAATATTAATGATCGATTTTTTTTATCGACTTTTTAATTTCTAATTTAATTTGATCATTATTAGCTGAAGCTTCAGCATTATTTTGCATTAATAGAGAGCATGATCTTTAAAAACTAGGAAGTGTGTAATAGATTTTTTTTTTAAAATTATTAATATAAATAATATAATACTAACATCATTAAAATTTATTACAGCCATTTGTATGGTAGTCAATTGTGATGAAACTATAGGTTTGATTATTTGCAAGCTAATAAATGAAAACCGAGTGGAAGTAATTACGGAAAGGTCTGATACATGTGGAAGTACTCTTATAAATAATGAATTTATAAAATGCTTGCATAAAATACTTGGAGACAAACTTATGGATTTTTTAAGAGATAATCATCATGATTCATTTTAATATGTGATTCAAGAATTTTCTCATCATTGTAAATTTACTTTTATGGGAGAACACAATTACTTTGAAAATTATGAGTTAGATATTGATGAAATTAGCATAATAAAACAATATATTACTGAAGACACCAGAACACATTTGGACACATGTGATTGGTTGATTGAGCTTGATATTGATGATATAAAATTGATCTTTGATCTTTGTATTGAAAAGGTTATACATTTTATTAATACAGAACTCAATAGTTTTCGAGAAAACTGTTCAACAATGTGTTTAATTGGAAGTTTTAGTGAATCAAAATATTTACAAAACAGAATTAAAAAGGAGTTTCAAAGTAGAATAAATTTTTTGATTCCTGGAAGTCTTACTACTGTTGCAATCGCATATGACGCCATCATGCATGGATTTAATTTATGTTATATTGATGTTTGTTAATAAAATAGGAAAATTTGTCTCTGAGATAATAAATATGATTTGATATATATATATACTGTATATAACGTTTTATACTTGAAGATTATATATAATAGTTTAGTAGCAGAAGAATTTTTTACACGTGAAGATTGTATGAAAATCAGGATCTCACACATAAATATTAACATTTTTATTATTACACATCCAAAAATAATAAATATTTCTGAATATTTTCTAAATTTTATTCATGATGGTCGGTCTTTGATTGTAGGATGTCACTTGAAGTTTATTTTCTTTTGTTATTTACAAACACTTTTAATTATTCATTCTTTTTAAATTGAGCTAATGAGCGGAAAGGAAAGATTATAAAATTCGCAAGATTCGCACTTGCGTTCAACAATGTATAGTTATGTTAACGTCAATTTTTTTGAAGTATTGTATTATATCTTCTCTCTAATAATCTCTAATAAAAAAAACCATTCAAAAAAGTCTTGATATTGAAAGTATAAATTCGTTTATCAGATATTTTTCCAGCAAGTACAAGGATTTGAATATGATTGAAGTGAATATTACATACATGCCACATTATATTATAAATTCTACCTTTATTTTTTTATAAAATTTATTACTTTTAGGCTAGATTAGCAAAATCAAAATTAGTAGACCTTCTTACGAAATATAGGATGATTGATGATTATTCATAGGGATCTCAGTTTATCATTTTCAAGTGTCTTGTTTAAACTATAATCATCAAAAGGTCGAAACCTCAATTCAAAAGAAGGGCATCACATTAAGAATATTCCCAACATTACTATGTTTATAATAAGTTTTAATGATGCCAATAGCAAGTCAAGAGATTTAATTAATGATAATTTATTTCTAATCCACATAATAATAATCATGCCTTTTGAACGTATCCGGACATTTTTTCGGTAGTTGGTCTTTGATTTGGATTAGCATTCCTATAAGCCAATTTTTTATAAAATTCAGGAGTCTCTTTTCCAAATTCTGGACGAAGTCCATTACATAAATCTAAGGCTAAATTTAAGTTATGTTTTCTATTATAAAATGGAAGACTCCCAGATGACTATAGATATCAGAAGCTCTAGTATATATTTTTTCGTTCAAGACTTCTGGAGCGATATGGTAATACTCCATGAATTTTATTATCCAAATTTTGCTTATCTGCCGGTCCTGATAATCCAAATTCTGAAATTATCATTTGATAAAATATGAAAAACCTTGTGACAATATCCTAATAGTGTAAATATAAAGGTCAAAAGTTATACCAAGTAAATTAATTTTATATGGCCATATTAGTTTATTTGAAAGGATACTTCTTTATTTGCAATTGTTACAATCATAATACATTCTTCGGTTTCTGGATTCTTAATTATTCCATAAAAGTTTAGTGATAAATTACCAATATTAAATAAATCCCAATGTGCTTGAAACTATTTTTTGTAATATAGAGTTTAGCAAATTAGAAATATACTTATTTAATAATAATACATTTAAATGTAATATATGTACCACATTAAGAAATCTGTCTGACATATCCCATGATCCATTTAATTTTTTCAAAGCAACCATCATAGCTTTGGAGCCAAATTTTCCCAACTTCCATCATCTTGCTTTTCAAAATATGAATTACCGTGCATCAATATTTCAGCATAAACTTTGGAAAATCCTCCTTCACCGATTTTCTGAATATATCATAAGGTACCCATTCAAGAAATTTTTTGAACTTTATGCTTGCATAGAATCTTGATGAACTTATCAATGTCATAATTTTCACTTGTCCATCCTTCAATTATATTATTCTTTACACCAAAAATGGTTATACAATTCTTAACGACTTGAGGTTCATTTTCATCCATATTCTTAAAAAAAAAATTCTATGAATAAATTTGTAAAAATATTTATATTAACGTTAATTTTTTAATAAGAAAATTTTCCAAATTAAAATTTCATCAGAATATTCTTCAAACACCAATCATAATCTATGTAATTAATTTTGAGTTACGTAAAAAATAAACATTTCTAACCAATAATAGAACTAATATATAATAGAGTGCCGCTTGAAATTCAAATTGAGTTTTAAATATTTGAAGCGTATATTCGAATATTATTCCAGTGATTTATTGTTATACAATGGATAATTCTAATTTTTTATTCTCATTACGTCGGCGGCTTAAAGTAAATTTGTTCCGATCATTTATTATTGTCTCGTATCCCCCGAATTAACAAAGACCTTTTGATATTTTTAAGTTGCAAAAACCGTGATTTTGCTTGATTATAGATTAACTTAGAAGGTCATTCAAGTATATTTTAAATTAAATTGATCAAATACAAATTATTCTATTGGATAAAAAAAAAAAGAATGAATTCATATTAAATCATAAATGCATAAATAATTTTCGTTTTTTTTTTAAAGAAAAATCTATTTAATTACGATCTGTTTAATTAAAAAAATAAAAAATAAACTTCTTTTGTAAAACAAATTTCATTTTAATTAGCGGTTGTCGATCTGGTGGCTTAGAAAATTTATTTTTTATTTATGCAGTATGAAAAAGAGATCTACCACGTGCATTTTTTTTTCTTCTCTGTAATTCATTTTTTAAGTTTTGAATTTAATAAATTAAAATGCAAACTACCAATAATCAGAATGAGTCCGTTGAAGAATATATCTCTAGGAAAAGTATCAAATGTTATGAATTTAAACAATTTAGCAATTTTCAAGAAATTGGTACAGGCGGCTTTGGGAAAGTTTATCGTGCAAATTGGAAAAATTCAAATCAACATTTTGCGTTAAAATCATTTCATAACATTAGTAATAATACCATTAAAAAAATTATTCATGAGGTAAGTACAAAATAAAAAATTATATTTCAGTTCACTTCGATTATTTCGGTCTATTTAATATAAAATCTTTTGTATATTAAGCTAATATTTATATTCTAATATTTTAGCTTGAACTCCAGCTGGAGGTTTATTTTCATAGCAATATCATTCGATTTTTGGGAATTACATCAAGCCAAGGTATAAAATCTTAAATAATGAGGATAAAATACATATATTAAAGTTGTACTTTATTATTTAATTTATTTATAATTTTTTTTTTTTTTTTTTAGAAAATCAAAATGTTCAATTGAAAAAATATTGGTTAGTAATGGAATATGCTGACGGCGGTGCGCTTAAAACATATTTGAAGGAAAATTTTGCTAAGCTTGCTTGGGGAGATAAATATAACTTGGCATACCAATTGTCTTGTGCTGTATCGTGTTTACATAACGAAGGAATCTTGCATCGTGATTTGGTAAATTTATATAATACGTATTCTCTTACGAATATTTCTGTTTATTATTAACAATTTTTTTTATATGCTAGCATTCCGGAAATATATTAATTCATCAAGGTGTCATAAAACTAGCCGACTTTGGATTATCGAAAAGGATAGAAGC